AGTCCTGTTTATGTATTTTAAGTGTTTGATGAATAGCCTATGTCCATGTTATTTAATGATTTTAGATATAATAAAGGACTGAGTTGTTGTTTGTTAAGTATTTTAAGGTTTTAACCTTGTACCTGAATGGAAGTTTTTCAAATTATATGTGTTATGGGGATTGCTATGTTGGATTCCAGATTGTGAGAGAAACTGTAAGAGGACAGTTGACTGTGGCCAAAGGTTAGTCGATTGTACTGTTTTCTTTTTTATGGGTTGTGTGAGGCATGGTAGGCAGGAGCAGGCCTGTGAGAGGCAAGGCTCTGGTGCGAGCTACGTGTGCTCACAAGTCCCACATCGCCTAGGTCTGGAAAGGTGAAGTGTTATATATAGGTTCATCACCCTTGTATGACACTTTTTTTTTAAAGTCGTGATGGTCGTGAATCTATCAGAACTCCAAAGTTAAGTGTGCTTAACCAGGACTAGTACCAGGATGGGTGACCTCTTGGGAAGCCTCTAGTCCGGGGGAGTCAAAAGCGGATAATATTGTGCTGGTGGGGTAAGGGCCGTTACAAATGGTATCAAAGCCTGACCTAGTCGGAAGTGTGCCGACGGGGACGTCGGGCCCCAATAGGGTTGGAATTGTGAGGCTCGGTGGGCGGGCACAGGCGTGTGAGAGACAAGGCTTTTGTGAGAGCTATGTGTGCTCACAAGTCCCACATCGCCCGGGTGTGAAAAGATGAAGTGCTATATGTAGGTTCATCACCCTTCTATGACACAAAAACGCGTTTTAAAGCCGTAATGGCCTTGAACCTATCAGAACTTCGATGTTAAGCGTGCTTAACCTGGAGTACTACCAGGATGGGTGACCTCCTGGAAAGTCTCTGGTCCGGAGGAGCCAAAAACGGACAATATTATGTCTGGTGTGGTGAGGGCTGTTATAGGTTGTGTGGTTTTGGTCGTGACACTTCCCCTTTCCATACCCAAGCAATGTGGGATCGTGCACCCGTAACTTGCTAGCATGGTAGCCTGCCAGTGCCTCGCTCCTGCCCACGCACACCCGCCCACAAGGTTGCCAAAATTGGTGCCACATGGATGACTCTCTTGCATCAGGCACGTGCTCATACTATTATAAATAGCATAGTGCCCTGACGTGAGGGATCATCGAGGCCCTCTACCATATTCCGTCCTGTTCTAGCTCTCATTCTCTCCCCTCCAGCTTAATTATCTCCTATTCCTCAAAAGGTCTACTAATCAACCATATTACTATGGACTAAAACAAAAAGAAGATGAATCAACTGAGGAAGCAGTTATAGCTGGAACAAGGAGCTCCTCAAACCCATACAATCCTCCCGCTATATGGCCTATTCCAATCAGCTTATTAGAATGAGGATCTTGCACAACAAAACCAATTGGAGAGAAATGAACAAAATATCCAAAATTGAACCATTAGCTAATACGAGGAAAGAGAATTGTTCCAACACCAGCCAATGATATAGGTGTGTCATTGGCAGCTAAAACTGAAACAGAAGATGGAAGAGAGCAAGTAGACGTGAATAAAGATGAACCACCAGGCATATGGTGTGTAGCACTTGAAAAAGCATTCGGTTGATGGGTGGAAAGAAGCTTTGACAACTGCTTTGCAATCAAAGACAACGTAAGAGTTAGTGATGATAGCTCCTCCCCAAAAGGTATAACTGTTGCAGTGTAGTGACCCTTACTCTTTTAAGACTCCTGCTGTTGTCCATAAATTGGCTTATTTCCCAGTTTAGTGGACTTGAGTCTTCCGGTATTCCTTTTGTCAACAAAAACTGCACTCGTCAATACCAAGTTACCAACTCTAGCACACTGCCTGCTTTGTGTGCTAGAATGAAGCATAGGTGGGACAGCCAAAACGGTCTGACTGGGTAAAGGGAGAAGTCCTTTTCGGGGACAGCTTTGAGACAAACTTCTTCAACTAGCAATTCATTAACCACTGAATCAATGAAAGGCAGTGAACTCTGGTGAAGAATGGATCCACGGATACCCTCAAAGTCTATCTCTAAAAGCCACCAAACCTTGAACTAATCTATGCTCTTTGCTGAAAATACCACACAACTCATTAGATTTCAGTCTTCCAGGCTCCATTTGAGCTAACCTAGGAAGCATGGACACGCCTAAAAGGGCAAAGAATTCATGTTGGACACCGACATGCGCCGGACACGCCAGACTGGTGTCAGACACGCCAAAAAATGTGTCTGAATTTTTTTCATTTTTTTGAATATTCGGCATTGTGCGAACACGACACGGACACGCCGTGAACACGACTTGGAACAATCAGATATTTATGCTTCTATTTTAGTTCAAAGGTTCAAACTCTGACACGGTCATCTTTGACTCTCTTGTTCTACACCGACCAAGCTTCGGTTCTCTCTCTCTCTCCCCTCTTTTCTATCTTCTTTATCCTCATCTTTTCTCACATCCTCTTTGTCCTCCTTTTTTCTTTCTTCTTCTTCTTCTTCTTCTTCTTCACAAACCCTATGTACTTCTTTTTTCCCTTTCACAACAAAAATCTTTTTGTCACTTTTTCCTTTTTCCTCTTGTTTCCATGAACTTTTTCTGTTCTATGGATTTTTACTAACTAAGCCCTAATTCTTTTTCTAACAAAACCCTAATCCTCTTAATTCCTTCTCTTTCTTAATCCTCTTTCTATCATTCTTTCTTTTTCCCAGCAAAACACATTTTTTTTTCCTTATTAGGTTGATAAAAAAAAATAATATTACTCTTAATTTCATAAACTACAACATCATATATATTATATAAAACATATTAATCCAAGTGATTATCTTAGCATTATTCAACATTATTTCAACCTTCTTATCTGATGGGACAGCCATAACTCCAACATAACCCCACATATTTTTTCCCAATAGAAAATTCTTCATCACATAAGCCTAATAGTCATTATTATCACTAGTCAACCTTACACTAATAGTTTGAAGAGAGTCAGTATTCCCACTGGCCATCTTTAAAATAAATCAACCAATAACCAACTGTCCAATGTCACAGAACCAAGAAAGCAGGACTGTATTACGTATTACCATTGCCCAAGTACAAAGAAGAACTGCTATGCAAGCCGAGAAGAAGAAAGAATAATGAACCAAAATTGAAGAATTGAACAAAAAAAAAAAAATAGAGTCTAAAATTGATGCAAACAGAGAGCGCTTGTGGTGCTGGTCGAACAAACAGAACAAATCAATGAGAGCAACAAAACAGAAACTATACTGGTCTAGAAAGAAAGAAAAAAAATCAAGACTGTGCTGTGAAAAAGACGAGATGTCATTGACTGGCTATGAAGAAACAAAAAGATTGAATTGCGATGTCATTCCGTTGTGACTGTGCAGCAAAGAGATTGTTGCATTGTCGACTGTTATGGTACTGCAATTGGCTGAGTGATAAAGTCGAACAGAGTGAAAGATTCGAATAGAAATGGACTGTCACAACCACCCTGCTGTGCAGATATTGTCTGCTTTGCACAGTTGCCATGGTCACAATTTTCAAAAAATGTCTACACGGTTGGGAGGCGTCCACACATATAAGTGCCAACAACCTCTTCCCCCCCCCCCCCCCCCCCCCCCCCCCCCCAAGGGGGGCAATTTGGGATGTCAAATGGACTCCACCAAAAATCAATGCGATGGTGCACTGGTGCTGTGAGTGGAGTTACGACTGGTTGTGCTGCGATGGTGTACTGGTTCTGTGCAAGAAATCAACGCAGTGTCGTGAGATGAAGGAAATCCAAACAGAAAGAGAAAGAAAGTCTATGAATGTTGCAATGCAATGGTTGCTGTTGCAATGTGATTGCTGCAATTGATTTCGATCAGGGTTTGCGTATATCTGCAATGATGAACACAGAGAGTCTATGCTACTGGAATCAAAAATTGCAACAGATGCTGCAATGGTGTGATTGTCCATTAGGATTTTCAATTGTTGCAATGCGATGACTTGGTTCTATGATGCGATCAAGAGGTGTGATTCAATTCCCACAATCAATCTTGCTCTGATACCATGTGAACTTTTGTACAACCGGAATAGAAGAGGAGAGGGAATATCATATTCTGCTGTTCAATACAAAAATACAAGAATAATAAATATGCCCTAAAGGATGGCCGAGTCGGCTGACCAAATAAAAGAGAAAAGACTAAACTACCCACAAGTATAAAATATTCTCTAACAAAGCAAAGCCAATGAACAATTAACAAAGACTGCATTACACCAAATGCTCTCCCAAGAAACTGAATGACAACCACTCCAGGCCCCCCTTTCTTCCCCCTCCCCTCTCTTCCCACCTCCCCCAAAACCACCACCGCCTACTACAACAAGCTCACTCAAATATGAGACTCCTTTAGACTATCCAACTCAACATATCCCTGCTACCAAATGTGCTGGAAATCTATACTTGAAATAAGATGCTACTGACTCTCTCTCCTAGTCCTAAACTGCCATAATAAACTGAATTTTACAAACTATATGCCTTATCTAAGATACATTCTTCTCCAATAAAGCATCCTTAAAATCATTATCTGAAAAAGATCTAGAAAGATTTCACTTAGAATACCTCTTTGCACCATATTTCACTACAAAGATGTTGTGTTTAGAGAACTCCCAACTATTTTCAATTGCTTTTCCACAACCACGAGCCATCCTCTCACCTCTAGTGGAGACCACTCCCCCTTTGCTATCCGTATTTTCTTTCCACCAGAACAAATCCCACCTCTCTGCAGACCTCCACAACCACATACCAAAAGTGCTCAGTTGAGCAAACCAAGCATTTGAATTCATAATCAGTTTTCCTTCATTAGAGTGCATACTCCAATGTATATTACATGAAAAATTGTAAAGAAAAATTGAAAGTTTAAACGAAGAAACATCTAGGCAATATAGTTATCACAAAGATAAGCAACCATAAAAAATACATCACAGATGTATATTGTGGCAACCAATTCAGGGAAACTGAAAAGTATTTATAGTACAGAGCCACTCACTTTTCTGAAAGGCGCTCAAGAAATAGACGGTAGGTAAGCTGTGGGGCAGCACCAACAAATATGCCTCCAACAAAATGTACAATGGACCTTGGGTTTGTGTTCCTTGGTTTCAGAACCCATGCTCCCTGAGATAATATAATAGTATGTCTATTTAATAAGGTTGGTAAAATTTCTACCCATATAAAAAAATAAAGGGAGAGAGAAAAACTTAAGTGAACTTCCGCACGAAATAAAAGTCAATTGTTAGTTTTCTACTAGTTAAAGGGTAAAGATGATGTTCAAGCGCCTAGGAAGAGTTGAGCCATGACCTTGGATATGACCCAGATCTATGTGTTCGTGGACTCTACTAAATGTGTATGGCACTTGTGTTACACAGGTTAGACATGGACGTTGGTAAAATGTGTCCAACAATCTAATTTGACATGCACCTAGCAAGCACGTCCAGTATTTCAAATTTACTATATAATTGTAAATTTATTTTTTTTCCAATGTCATTGTAAATCAATAACTACTATTGTGTGTGTGAAAATATATATATATATATATATATTACATGTTTTATTCAAATTTCAAAATGATTGAAGTGCACAAATTGAACTCTCTATTCACATAAAAAAACAATATTATGACGCCGCATTACCAAGAGGAAACGTTCAAATCTTCTTCACAGCAATTATTAAAACGAAACAAAGGGACAATGCAAGAGAAAGGAGAATTGAAAAGCAAACATTTAATTGTTGTAAAATTATCTCTTCCACTATTGATCAAACCCTAGAAATTACAAGGCTTTTAATATAATTTTTTCCTCCTCAACCTTAGCCATAGATTGACTTTATTACCAAATATAAATCAAAACCAAAACAGGAAAGCTGTTGAAAATTAGAAGATTACTGAAAACAAGAAACAAGTCAAAAATTACTAGAAACCTGGTTCTTCTTTCCCTTCCTTCACTTCTTTCCTTTTTTGGGTGTTCCCAATATTGTAGGAAATCTTATACTGGGTCCTCAGCTACATCAATCCCCCCGTGTTGGAAAGAACTTGCTCTCGAGTTGTTCAAATCCTCATCAGAAGAATAACTCTTGTAAGTAACCAAATGCTTGACATTAGAAACATCTGATGTGTGAATATGACTTGGTAACTTAAGCTAGTAGGCATTATTATTAACTTCTTAATCACCTCGAATGGACCAATGTTTCTATCCCTCATCTTGTTATAAGAACAAGATGAAACTCGATCTTTTGATAGAATGGCCCAAACATAATGTCCAATTTCAAAAATTAATCTTCCTTTGTGATGACCAGCATTAGCCTTATATTTCGCATTTGATGCTTTAATTTGTTGTCCTGCTTTCATATGAATTTCTTGCATAAGTTCAGCCATATTTTCCGCCTTCATATTGGCCTTCTTGGGAATATGAATTCAAGCCAAATCAAGCACACTATATGGTTTTGCTCCATAGACAACCTCAAAAGCAGAAAGAGTGGCAGTACGAGTCTTTGACTACTTATAAGCAAATTCGACAAGGGGTAGAGTAAAATCCTAATTCTTGTGGTTGTTGCCCGTTAAGCATCTCAACAAATTTCCCAAACTCCTATGGACAACTTCTGTTTGCCCTTTGAGGGTGAAAAACGGTGATATAATCAAGCTCCGTTCCAATCTTCCTCCACAAAGTCCTCCATAGTGCCCAACAACCTGATTTTGACATCTTTCCTGATTTTATTTGATTTGGTTTCCTTTTTCTGTACACTATTCTTGTATATAATTATAGCTCTTGGCTCTCAGTTTGAGTAAGCCAAAACCCAAAACTTCTTTTGTATTACTTTGACTTTGAGCAGCACTCCAAGGCTCTTAAGTCATCTCTATCTCCATTTCAGTGGCATTGTCGTCTTGGCCACCATTCACTTCCGGTTTTGCAGCATCAAGTCCCTAGTCTTAGCCGTGTTTTGTCTACGTCATGTGAAGCGTGTCAGCTTAGTAAACATCATCGTGTATCTTTCAAACCTTGAGTTAATAAACGTGCATCCAATCCTTTTTCAGTTAGTTCATTCAGACGTATGGGGTCCAACAAAGCATATTTCTAGTAATGGATTTTGTTATTTTGTGACATTTGTGGATGATCATTCTCGCATGACTTGGTTGTTCTTAATGAAAAATCGCTTTGAGTTATTTTCTATCTTTCAAATTTTTCGTAATGAAATCAAAACTCAATTTGGATGTCCCATTCAAGTTTTGCGTTCCGACAATGCCAAAGAATATGCACAACAAAACCTCATGTACTTATACCCCACAACAAAACGGTGTGGCTGAACGTAAAAATCATCATCTCTTGGAAGCGGTGCGTGCCCTTTTATTTCATATGCGCGTCCGTAAATGGATTTGGAGCGATGCAGTCCTTACTACCTATCATCTCATTAACCGAATGCCATCTTCTCTGTTGCAAGGGAAATCTCCCCATTCAGTCCTCTTTCCTGATTCAGCCTTTTTCACTCTTACTCCTCAAATCTTTGGGTGTGTATGTTATGTCCATAACCTTGGACCTGGTTTTGACAAATTTGATCCGCATATCACTAAATGTGTTTTTCTTGGGTATTCTCGATCTCAGAAGGGCTATCATTGTTACAGTCCTACTCTTCAGCGGTACTTCACTAGTGCAGATGTCTCCTTTTGCGAGTCCGTTCCATATTTCAAAGACTAGTTCTCCTATTGATTTTACTCCTGAGCCAACTTTGCCAACTATTCCTTTTCCTCTTCCCTCACTGTCTCCTTGCCCGGCTTGTGATATCCTAAGATTTAATTAAGCCTTCTAATCATGTTTAGTGATTCTGAATCGTGCTTAGTGGCTCTTAAACATGCTTAGTGACATCTTAATTGTGTTTAGTGACTCTTAATCACGATTAGTGACCTTTAATCATGATTAGTGACATTGGATATAAAGTATGATTTATTGAAGTTATAGGATTTTATTTGGAGGCCTTTGTGTGATTATTTAGTTAGTTCGGGAGAGGTTGCAATTAAATCAAAATCTGTCTTGGTGGCAGCCATGTGTCAAAGCCATATCAGTCTTCCTAACACCTTGTCTTATATCACAACCCAAGAGACACGTGTCTGCAGAACCTTACACCTGTTACTGCCAACTGCCTTCTCTTCTCTTCTATTACATCCACACTTGAACCAAGACACAGAAGAAAACAGTAGAGAGGGAGCATGAAAGTTCCAGCAGTGAGGTTTTAGTGTGAGATAGAGAGAAGAAGGAAGGGAAAGGAAGAAGAGAAAAGGAGCTGGGCTGTAGAATACATCACCACCTCATCCCCATCTTCATTTTTGTCATCTTTGGGTAGGGTTCTCTATACCTTGAGTTGCTTCAAGTGGTTTTACTGCCTAAATTCCTTGGTTTGGCCATGAAATTATCTGTTTCAATTGCTACGTGTGTTTCACTCAAATTGATAATCAAATCCTGATGTTGTTCATCCTTTCTTGAGTTTCTTGTTCCATTTTGCTGAGAAACAACTTTATCTTGTATATATATGTTTTGTAATACAAATGATTACATATTTTCTATAAACTCACTTCCATGTGCCTTTAAACCTCTTTGAAGCTCCTGTTATGGCTTTCCTACTGGGCTGTTAGCCCACCCTATCATTTTTCAGGTACCCAAAGATCAATTGGAGATTTGGGAATTGCTGACTAGCCATATTTAGAAACCGAACTGGTTTTGTATGTTAGGTATTTTCTGAAATGCTTGTATAGAGGTGACTTGACGATCTTTGTAATGTCACGGATTTTCTTGATTTTTTCGATTTTTTTTATTTTAATTATTTTGCGTGCCACAAGGGCCACGAGAGCTGTTTCGGTTATTTTTCTAGCCAAGGGTTTTAGAAATGCATTTTTTATTTATTTTAAGTCAATTAGAGGTGACAGTGTCATTTTTAGAATTTTTCGAAAGTTGAGACGATTTCCAGGCTCGGGAACTTCTCCCGATTGTGTCATTTGCATTGAGGGGCATTGTGGTCTTTTCACACACTTACATATATATATATATATACACACATGTATCTATATATTAGAGGTAGATATTTTGTGGGATGTAGAGGGTATTTCAAAGGAAGAGGAAGGTCATTTGTGTAACTTAGCCATAATTAGTAACCATCCACATGTTGACACTTGGCTCAAGGAGAGCCTTTCATTCAAAATGAGGACCAAGGCCAACCCCTCTTCCTCTTCATTTCAGCCGAACCACCTCCTCTCTCTAGACTTTTCTCTCTCTCTCTCTCTCTCTCTCTCTCTCTCTCTATATATATATATATATATATATATATATATCTATACATATATATCTGCAAGTTTCAAGCCAAGATTTGGGAGGTTTAGGCTAGGATTTTGATGATGCCATAGGAAAGAAAGTGGACGAGCTTGGAGAGGGCCATCTTTTGATACCATTCGTGCATGGGTTTAGAGAGATTTCGAAATTGGGCTTGCCTAAGGGCTTGTTTGGTTGCACCAAATTGAGGTAGGGGTTTTCTAAGACCTTGTACTTTGACTTTCATTGAAGTATTTTGCCCTGTACTACAATGAATTTCATATGGAATGCATGACTATGATTTTATTGCTAGCTAAATGATGATGATGTAGTAATGTGAGCTAAGCATGTTTATATGTGACAAGTATAATGCTTTTCCATGCTATGTGTTAAGTGCTAACTTAGTTGAGAAGAAGTGAACTCCATGATGAGTATGTTGTGTTTAAAGTATAGGAATTGCCTTAATTGCGATTACATTGGGAAGTATGCTATGGTGATGTTTAAATTTCATAAAATGCCATGTTGAGTTAAATTGCTAAAGGATGACATATTCATGTTGTTGTTGTTGTTGTTGTTGTTTTAGTAGAATTGTCTAATTGAGAACATTGGTGCATATGCATGGCATGATAGGGAAAGGAAAGGGAGAAAGGGACTTGAAATGAAATTTCATAAAAAGAACCAAATTTCGCGAGTTCGGTGCTAACTTTGACTTAGAGGGAGCGCGTGCCGATTTAGGTCGTGTAAAATTGATTACTAGGCCCTAAATGGTTGTCGGTTTAAAGGCCAGGGATAGCTAATCCATCTCGCCTCGGTAAAGTCAGTTAGTGGTTTTCGGTGTGACTTAGGGTCAGTAAAGACCAAGTTGGGGACATGGTGTATTGCATTGCATTTTTATGAATACTTGTGATAAGTTGTACATTTGCCGTGACAAGAAAGATTATATAACTTAAATGCTATAGAAACCCCAATGCATGACCCTGGTTTTTTTTTATTCCCATTATGTGTTTCGTGGCTCAAGGGATGCCTTAGGCAACTTCTACTAAGCCTCCGTACTCACCCCTTCCCCTTTAACATTTTTCAGGTCACGACAAGGAAGTGGTTGATGACGTTCCTCCACAAGTGTAGTAGAGGTTGATGAAACCCTCTCTTGTAATTTTTATAAACAAAGCTTAACTATGACGATTATTTTTGTAAAGATGACGTTATCCGTTTAATTGTATAAAGCATTGTAATTAAGACCTTAAGGGTCTCTAACTTGTAAACTTATTTTTTTGGGATGTTATTTGTATAATTTGGGCATGTAAGTGATGAGGATGACAACAAAGTTTTCACCTTGAAGTTATTTTGAACCATTATAACGTACAGATGATATTTTGGGAGTGTATCTATGTTTTCATGATTGCTTTGGGACAGGTTTTAAATGTATGGAAGTGTCATTTGTCTTAAATTTCAATGTAGGAACCAACCAGGGCTTCATTGGAAGTCAATGGCAATTTTTAGGGTCGAGCTTGATCTATCGAGTCCCGGCTCAATCGATCGAGCCTCCCATAGTTAGAAAAATTGAGAAAAACCTCAAATTTCATGCTCTCAACCCCACCATTTGAGCTTGGACTCGATCGGTCGAGTTAGGCTCGATCGATCGAGCACTCTTGCTTGTCCACTAGTTGTCAACCCAAACTTCGAATGGCTATAACTCCCTCGTTTCAAACCCAAATAGGGTTGTTCTTGAGTCTAAACTGACTGGCTCGAAGTCAGCTTTCTAATGATATCAATATCATCCTCAAATTCCAATTACACTGAGAGTTATAGCTGTTTTAGTGAGGAGGTGTCGAAGAATCCTTCAAACTGAGAGTGTGTAAGTGTGTGAAATTATACCTATGGCCATTATGAACTTATGAAAGGGACTAAATTGGTTAAAGTGATGTTAGAAAACCCCATTTGACTACTTATAGTCAGCTCTTCCCCATATTTCCCTTGCACTGACCATTTTGCCCTTGTGTGCCCTCGGGTCCGAGTAGGGACCCGTATAGCGATTCGGACCTCCGAGGTTGGGTCGTTACAATTTTGATGTAATTGAGGCCAGATTGTATATATACAATGTGTTGTAAAGGATTTTGGTGACTGGGACTACATTCTGTTGTGGGTTGTATGTTGAAAGGGGGTGATGGAAAGTAGGCTGGTTTGTGTTTAAACCTCAATTTATTCACTGCCTATGTTTTGGGTCATGACACGGCTCCTCTCCAATCTGCTGCGCCATTACAGGTTTACACTAGGCGACCCAAGCCGCGTACCATGCTTCAACCACCTTCTTCGGAGTCTTTGGATCCTGCACCATCTGCTCCGTCTGATATTTACCTATTGTTGTACGTACAGGTACTCGGTCTTGTGTCATTCATCATCCCATTACTAACTATGTCTAATATAATTCTTTATCACCCTCTTTCTCATGTTTTTCATCCCAATTGTCTACTACACGTGTTCCCAAGAATGTGCAGGATGCTCTTTCTAATCCGGGTTGGAGAAAAGCAATGGAAGATGAAATGGATGCCCTTCATCGTAATGGGACATGGGATCTTGTTCCTTCGCCTCCTGGTATCAAACCTGTTGGTTGTAAGTGGGTGTACAATGTGAAATACCTTCCTAATGGTTCTATTGAGCATTTAAAGGCGCAACTAGTTATGAAGTACACACAAACTTATGATGGTGATTATAATGAAACTTTTTCTCTAATTGCAAAGACTTCGTCTATTCGAGTTCTCATTTCTCTTGCTGCTAATCGTAATTGGCCCCTATTTCGATTGGATGTTAAGAACGTTTTTTTACATGGTGACTTAGTTGAAGAGGTTTTTATGGAGCAACCACCTCACCTGGGTTTGTTGCTCGGTGGGGTATCAGTATAGTGTTTGTCGCTTAAGGAAGGTTCTTTATGGCTGTAGTGTTTCTGAGTCTCCAAATCAGTAGTCAATAGATGATACACACTTAATTCCTCCCACATACCTTTCAAGGTGGAGTAGTAATCTTCAATAGATCGATCTCCTTGTGTAGTGGGGAAAAAATCCTCACATAGATGATGAATCCGAGAGATGTTTTGCATACATCTCCTTTAGGGCATCCCAAATCTCTTTAGTGGTTTCAAGAAAAGAGACATTGTTGAAGACCTCCGGCTCCATACTATTCCATAACCAAGTCATAATTTGGGCATCTTCTTGTTCCCAAGTATCAACCAATTTGGCATTGGTAGGTTTGATTAACTGAAGATAAGAGAACTTTCCTCGAGCTTTCAAAGCAACTTGGACACCTCGAGCCCATTGAAGGTAATTAGGACCCTCAGTTCGATATTTGTCATGGAACCGAAGAAGAGAGGATATTTGCTATCTGTTTTGTCACCTATGGAAACCGAGCAAGAACGAGACGATATCCGAGCAAGAACAGGATCCGTGCTACGAGATCAACAAGAGGATTCTTTCCAAGCAAGGCAATGCTATGCCATCGAGTCGATGAAGCTGTAACCCTTCTTTTTTCTTTCTTTTTTTTTTTTCCCTTGTTTTTTTTTTTTTTTATTTACATAATGAAACAACTAAGAGATATAAAACTATTTACATAAGAAAACGCAAAACTGAATAGAACTATTGGAGGAAGAAAAAGAATCAGATGTGAAAGATACGCAAGAACAACAAAGATGCGGAGCAGAGGTAGGCTGGTGATGCAGAGGAGATTATGGTGGGGACTGGGCTAGGAAGAGGAAGACATGATATGCATATGGGTCTCAGGAGCATTCCGCTCTTTAACCATGTTGGAAAAAAATAAGAGCTAGAAAATAGAAGAGAAGAATTCTGGTATATTCCACAGTGTGAGTACATGTGGGTTTATATAGGAACCCAAGGCAGACAATCAATACAATCATTTAGCCAAATACCAGAATTTAAGCTAATCAAATATTAATTCCTATAATCAAGCTAGCAGCATCAGAATATTCCTATAATCAAGCTAGCAGATTATATGGATCAGAATAGTCAACTCTGTCAGCTAATAACAGGCTGTAAACAGCCTATATTCATGAGTCACGACAGTATTAAAAAATAAAAACATAATTACTTAGCCATATCTCTGTGTACTTACACTTGAGATTTGATAAATCCTATACTTAGCTTAATTCTTCCCATGGGAGGAGGAGTACACCAGCATTGAAGGGAGAGATTGGCGTCGGGCCTGTGCGTAGCCATTTGAGAATCTTTTTCAGAGTTCTCCTTAAACTCATAAAAGTTCAACATCGCTCTGTCCACAATGGCTTTGGGATCCCAATTCACTTTGTTAAAATGCCCAATTCTTTAAGGCAGCTTTTAGAGTGCGAGCCCTTGAAGACGTTAGGCTTTTCTTTTTTGATCTTCGGTCATCGTAAGTGAGGGAAATACGATGCTACGGCCGGCACCCCTTTGAGTCTATTGGCTATAATCTTAGCCATGTCATAATAATAGAGAGTCTTGCAGGAAGCAATCAGCCCGTAGTCTGAGAGGGAAGTTGAGTTAGGGAATTTCGATATCTTCCGTTCGCTTCTTGCTTTAGTGTGAACATATCCATTTTTCCTTTACATTCCCATCTGGAGAGCAAGAAAGAGTCCAACTGGCGGATAGTTTGGGGTTGGAATGGGCTCACCAAGGACCAACTCCAAATTCTTTTCCCCAACTAATCTTCCTGCTGGCTCTCCAGTTGTATTCCAGAAGCTCGCAGCATTGGTCCTGATAAACCCCAATTTATTGCCTCTTTGCCTCCAATAATGCTCACCCCTTTGCCCCAGATTGACTTCCAGATCATAATTCTCTCTTCTTTGTTAATATTCCAAAATAAAAATAGCGAAACTGAAACCAAAATATTCCAAGGACTCTTCTGACCAAACAAAAAATATGTAATTGTCAGCAAAGTTGTTTGACGTTCATACGGATTATATTATGAAAATGCTAAGATAGGACGATTTGATGCGAATAAAGGTCCTGCATCTGATAATGGAGGAGGCTTATACCATTACACTCACTAGCAGAATCTTAGCCTGAGCCACCTTCGCACGCCTCCGATGATATTAGATAGGGGGCTTAATCCTACTATGAGAAAAATGAGCATTCACATATCAACAACTAACACACAACCGCAAGTTCACGTAACGTAGAATCTAACAAACTTTACCAGCAGACCTTATTGAACATAATCAATAAGTCAACCTCAATTGCCCTGAATACTTCTTGTGTTACATTAACTCTCATGTTACCAACAAGCCAGTGGCCTAGCGGTACCAAGCCCCTACTTCTCAAAGAGAGGTCAAGGGTTCGAGCCTCCATGGAGGCATGTGTGTGTGAGCACCCAACTAGGAAAAAAAAAAAAAAAAAAAAAACTCTCATGTTCCCTACAAAGTACCCACTGTCAAACAAAATGAACTTCTTATTCTGTGATTTTTGGAATACCCATTGATCTTACCAAGTACAGTTTGTAAGGAAGGACAATGTTAAGAGCAAAATTATTTGATAAGATCACTACATAGGAATAGACTAGAAGGCATATAGTACTTGGTAAAAAAGCTAAATGAAAGTACACCTCAACTTCGATCCAATTTCTTGAGCCTCCCCAACCATCTTGAGTTTGCTTTACAGCCTCAGTAAGTATTCTGCAAATAAAAAATAAAGAACATATGATTGTTTCAGATTCTGTGAAGTGGGCCAAGACACAAATAAATAAGATTATGTGTTGTGTCACATTGAACAAATAAATCACTACAAATCCAAGCTTCTCATATAAAAAGCAGGGAGATGGTTGCTGAACAAACTACCTCAATCATTCCTTCTTTTAAAGTCCTATTTCATGCTGCACAATAAATCATTCAGATCATACCAAGTTAAATTTTAATTAACAAAAACCATTCTATGAATGAACAATCATTCAGTCATGCCCATTGACCACAAAGATGATGCTTCTTCACTTAAAAACTTCATAAGCACATCATTCCATGTTCAAAGTGGACATGCAAACCCATCAACAGCTAAAAGAAACTATGGACTTAGTCCTTCTGAGTTGGAAACAGAAGGAATACAAGATAGAAGGAATACAAAAGATATATGTAAAGGCTTGAATCATATTTAGGAAAGGGTTTGTAGTGTGACATCTCTACACCCATATATTTATATTAGTCAGAAATACAATTTACAATACTTACATGGTCAAACTCCACTAATTATGACAATAATTACGTGATCAAATCCCACTAATTACGCCCTCAAATCCCATGATTATAGGCTAACATACCTCGGCTAACACTCTCCCTCAAGTTGATGCGTGGATATCTCAAACGCCCAACTTGGACAATGCATCCTCAAATACAGTCTTGCCAACATCCTTCGTCAGAATGTCTGCTGAGAGGTAGTGAAAAACAGAGTGCTTATTTGACCGGAGATGATCTACTCTCGAATGAAGTATTGATCAACTAAACAAAGTGTCTCCTCAGAACATAAAAAATCAACAATCTCAAACCCTAAACAACCAACCATGTCTCCTCAGACCATAAACAACCAATAATGTCTCCGCAAACTATTCCCCTTCATACACATGTTTAAAATATGTATATGAAAGAATCAACCTCACACCATAAACCATCAACAATGTCTCCTTAGATCATTCCCCTTCATACACATGTTCAAAAATATGTAGATGGAAGAATCACCAATGTCTCCTCAAACCATAAACCATCAATAATAACATCTTCTCAGACCATTCCCCTTCATACACATGTTTAAAAATATGTAGATGGAAGTATCACCAAGGTCTCCTTAGACTATAAACTCTAAGCAATGATAAGTACACAGGCCAAAGCCATAGCTCTGCAAGTCATTATATTAGCACTAGAAGTGATAACTGTGGACTGATCTTTTGCATTTGCTAGGTGACCGGCTATACTACAGTCTACAGCGGAAGTGTAACATTAACAACATAACGTAACAATATTATTTTCCAACAACGAATCATAAGCGGACTGAATGCAAATAGATGTAAATTAATTGATTATTTATCAAAGGAGCAGCAACGAGAGGATAAAAATAAATGAGGAAATTTGAAAAATTAAAGACTGAGGGAATGAGTGAGTAATTATATTAAATAGACCTTTCGATCTCGCTGTAAAGCTGGATTCCTGCTCTTTCTGGTTGGTTGTTGTTGCTGCTATTATTGGAATTGCAATAGATTCTGCTGCGGGAATGACTTCTGGTGGCAGTGGCAGTGGCATTTGAGCGAGGAGTGTGATGATGAAAATCGGAGTAGCAGCGGATGCGAGTCTGATGATGATGACGACTATGGAAAATAAGACCATTATTCTTATTATTATAATACTCTGAGCAGTATCCAGAAGCAACCTGCGGATGGGGCGTCCATATCCAGCTGGCCATCTATCCTATCCTTTCTCTCTATCAGATTCAGAAGGTCCTCCCTCTCCCTGCCTTAAACCTTGACAGAATCCGAGAGTAAGACAAGAGCTGTGTGCTTAAGCTCTCTCTCTCTATGGGGTTTGATCATGAATCTTCCAGCGAACAAATATATACGAGGCGCGTTCCTTTCGTTTGTTTCGACGGACGGACATCCACGGCGTTTCGGGTGGGTCCCCTAACATAATATGAGTTACTAGTGATTTTTTTTTTTTTAGCTGGCAACGAAACTCCCCTGGTAGGGCCCCTTAGAGACTCACCCCAGACTGCAAACCGGAGATACTATCTATGACCCCACACCTCAGCAACAATTTTAGTCCAAGATATAAAAGAGTGGGAGAGTCTCGAACCTGGGCAAGTGATATCCCAAGCCAATAACTCTCTCATCTCATCCAAGCCCCCGGGGACGAGTTATTAATGATTATTATAAGGTGAAATGCGAAAAATGTTATGTATATATATATAATGGAAGTGGGGCCCACAATGAAGTATGTCATTCATGACATCACAATTTAAAGCTTACAGAGGAAGATTTTAGTAGTGCCTTCTAAGGGAAGCCAATTCCTGCGCCTATATATATGGCCATACATACGTACCGCTGGGACGTGTTTTGGAATAACAAATTTTCATTCTCTGTCTCTCTTCCGTTCTCTCTCTCTTCATCTCTTTATATTACTCTCTTTATATATATATATATGTATGCACACACATATATATTTTATTATACGTTATTAGCACGAGCTCCATCCATCTCAGATTTGAAGAAAAAGCTTTCTCTCCCTCTTTCTATCCCAACTATATATCTATTTTGTGATATTAGTTTTGATAGATTGTTGGGTTGGTTTGTTTTATTAAAGAAAATAGTATTTCTGATTCCAAAGGGTAAGAAAATTGTAATTATAGATTATTGTTCATAAAATAAATTTGTTCACTTAAATAATATATGTGCTTACACTATGGTCGGTTCTACCACCTTTATTATTTACTGATCCACTAATTATGGTCGGTCTTACCACCTTTATTATTTAATGTTTTATGACTGGTTTTACCGCCTTTATTGTTTCATAATTTATTCACTATGGCTGGATTTACCATCTTTGTTATTTAAATAATTTATATTATATTATTATTTCATTCAATGCCATTTTATTTATATACTATGCTAAATTATATTTTTATACTGTTGTCACATCTAGTTATTCTGAAAATGTCAAATCTGACAAAGCTGGAATTCGTGGCTCTGGATATTTCTGGCAAAAATTATTTATCATAAATTCTGGATGCTCAGATCCATTTGGATGCCATAGGCCTTACAGACACAATTAAAGAAAATAATGATGCATCATTGCAAGATAAAGCAAATGCCATGATTTTCCTTCGGCGCCATATTAGTGAAGAACTGAAAAATGAATACCTCACTGAAATAGATCCACTTTGTTTGTGGAATAATTTGAAAGAAAGATATGATTATAAAAAAACAGTCATCCTCTCAAAGGTGAGAGCTAATTGGCTGCAACTGAGGTTGCAAGATTTTAAAACTGTGGCTAAATATAACTCTACTCTATTCAAAATCAGCTCTACATTGAAAATTATGTGGTGATACTGTTACTGATGAACTTTTGCTAGAAAAAACATTCACCACATTTCACGCCTCGAATATACTCTTATAACAACAATATCGAGAGCGTAGATTTAAAAAATATTCAGAGCTGATATCATGTTTGCGTGTGGCAAAGCAAAATAATGAGCTTTTGTTGAGAAACCACCAGTCCCGTCCAACTGGATCGACACCAATCCCTGAAACATATGTTGCCTCATCTCGTGATCGTGGACGCGGATGTGGACGTTGTCGTGGTGGTAGAAATGAATATGGTCGTGGCAAAAATAACGAACACAATAATGACTATGGTCGTGGTAGAAATCATTCTTATTATTGTGAAGGATATTAATCCTCACATTTTCGCAATCAGAGATCCATACCATATCCTCAAAGGAGAGATCATCATGAAATGAAACAGGAAAAAAGGAAAGATGTGGCTCAACCTTCCAAGGCACATGATAATACTTGTTATCGGTGTGGCATGACAGGGCATTGGTAAAGTATTTGTCGTACACCTAAGCATCTGGCTGAACTTTACCAAGCCTCAATGAAAGAAAAGGGAAAACAAAAGGAAATGAATTTCTTTGATCATGAAGAGCCAGTTCACACCACAAATCTGGAAATGTATTTCATTAATCATGATGAGCCAGTTAACATCACAAATCTGGATGTATCAGATTTTTTTTTAGGACCGTAATAAAAGGATAAACTTCCTGATTGGTGATGGAAATGTCCCCACCAATTAATCTTATTTTCTTTTCATATTATGTCTACTATGTTTTTATTTTCCTTATATTAAAGTTTTTATCCACTAGTTTGTATTAAAGTTTATTTTGTTATAAAAGTTTCTTTTCTAATAAAGAAATTTGCATGAATAGGAATGGATCTGACTAGTTCTAATATAAATGGAGAAGACATATGTCTTGCAGATAGTGGAACAACACATACAATCCTTCGAGATCAAAAATATTTTTCCCACTTAATTCTATCAGACGCCAGTGTCAGTACCATATCAGGTCCCACAGACTTGATTTTACCACATGGAACAAGATTACAAATCAATGATGCCTTATATTCTACAAGATCTCGGAGAAATCTGTTAAGTTTTAAAGACTTGCGTCGTAATGGGTATCATATTGAGACCGCAAATGAAAGAAATGTGGAATATCTCTACATTACTTCCATTACCTCAGGCAAGAAGCTAATATTAGAAAAACTTCATGTTTTCTCTTCTGGGTTATACTATACAACCATTAGAACAATTGAGTCAAATGCTGTGATCCATAAAAAATCTTGTGACCAAAAACTTTTTATGCTTTGGCATGATCGACTTGGTCACCAAGGGAGTACAATGATGCGTCGAATTATTGAAAATTCACATGGTCACCCACTAAATGATCAAAAAATCATCTTACCAAATAATCATCTATGCACCGCCTGCTCACAAGGTAAGTTGATTATCAGACCATCCCCTTCAAAAGTCATTATTGAGCCTCCCCCATTTTTGCAACTAATTCACGGGGATATATGTGGGCCAATTAATCCACCCTGTGGACCATTTCACTATTTTATGGTCTTAATTGATGCCTCAACAAGATGGTCACATGTTTGTATGCTTTCTACTCGTAATGTTGCATTTGCTAAATTTCTTGCTCAAATCATCAAATTACGGGCACACTTTCCTGATTACCCAATTAAGACAATCCGTCTTGATAATGCCGCTGAATTTTCTTCTCAAGCTTTTGATGATTATTGCATGTCAGTTGGAATTAATGTTGAACACCCTGTTGCACACACTCATACTCAAAATGGTATGGCCGAATCTTTTATTAAAAGACTTTAGTTAATTGGTCATCCTTTGCTTATGCGAACAAAATTACCTGTTTCTGCCTGGGGTCATGCCATATTACATGCTGCATCATTAGTTCGTATACGACCAACTTGCTTATCATACGAGTTTTGGTTGCGCTGTATATGTTCCAATTGCACCACCCCAACGCACTAAAATTTATGTTAGTTTTGATTCTCCATCTATTATTAGATATCTTGAACCCCTGACAGGTGATGTCTTTAAAGCACGATTTGCTGACTGTCATTTTGACGAGACTGTTTTCCCACCATTAGAGGGAGAAAAGGCACAGCAGCAACGTGATCTTACTTGGAATGCCCTGGAATTGTCTCATTTTGATTCTCGTACAAACCAATGTGAACGAGAAGTTCAGAGGATCATTCACTTGCAAAATGTTACAAATCAATTACCTGATGCATTTACTGATACAAAGAAAGTGATAAAATCACATATACCAGCTACAAATGTGCCAGCACGAATTACTGTCCCTGAGGGACCTTCTGTTAGTAATGCAACAAATGCATCTAAAACATGCTTGAAGCGTGGCAGACCAGTTGGCGCAAAAGATATCACTCCTCGTAAAAGGAAATCACAAAGAAAAGTGGCACTCCTGAAGAGGCCACAAAAGGAGCAACAGATATTATTGATCAATCTGAAACAATAGCCTTTGATAAGGCAGAGGCTCTTGATGAGTCTCAGGTACCTAAATATGATGAAATAATAAATATTGATGAGGCAAAGGCAACAGATGATGATGTGGCCCTTGATGAGGCATATGCCCTTGATGAGGCAAAGGTACCTGAAAATGATGAGATCTCATTAAATTATGAAACGAGATGGAATAGAAATGAAATTATTGTCGACAACATATTCTCATATCTCGTTGCTCTTGATATTGAAAATGAGGATCCGGAATCTCAAAACGTCGAAGAATGTCGATGAAGAAATGATTGGCCGAAATGGAAAAAAGTAATACAAGCAGAGCTAAATTCATTAGCTAAATGTGAAGTATTTGGACCAGTAGTCCAGACACCTGAGGGTGTTAATCCTGTTGGGTACAAATGGGTGTTTGTACGAAAACATAATGAGAAAAATGAAATTGTGAGATACAAAGCTCGACTAGTAGCTCAAGGTTTCTCACAGAGACCTGATGTTGATTATGAGGAAACATACTCCCCTGTGATTGATGCACCTACTTTTAGATTCATAATACATTTGGCAGTCACAGAAAGATTGCATATGCATCTAATGGACGTGGTTACAACATATTTATATGGATCACTAGATAGTGATATTTATATGAAAATCCCAGAAGGATTTAAAATGCCTGAAACAAAACCACGTAATATGTACTCGATAAAATTACAATGATCCTTGTATGGATTGAAACAATCTGGACGAATGTGGTATAATCGCCTTAGCGATTACTTGCTTAAAGAAGGGTATGTGAACAGTCATATTTGTCAATGCATTTTTATTAACAAATCAGAATTTGGTTTTGTTATTGTTGCAGTATATGTTGATGATCTGAATCTTGTGGGAACATTGGATGAAATCGAAAAGACGGCCACTTATTTAAAGAAAGAATTCGAAATGAAAGATCTCGGAAAGACAAAATTCTGCCTTGGGCTGTAGGTTGAATATTTTTCGAGCGGTATTCTCATCCATCAATCAACATATACAAAAAAGATTCTAAAACATTTTCATATGGATAAAGCCTATCCATTGAGCTCCCCAATGATTGTCCGATCACTTAACATCAAGAAAGATCATTTTCGTCCTCGAGAGGATGATGAAGAACCCCTTGGTCCTGAAGTGTCTTATCTTAGTGCGATTGATGTCTTTTATATCTTGCAAGTAGCACAAGACCTGACATAATTTTTCCTGTCAATTTATTAGCAAGGTACAGTTCTGCACCAACTCGCAGACATTGGAATGGAATCAAACACATATTGCGATATCTTCATGGTACAACTAATATGGGATTATTTTATTCAAAAGCATCAAATCCTCAATTAGTTGGATATGCTGATGCCGGCTATCTCTCTGACCCACATAAAGCCTATTCACAAATAGGATATGTGTTTACCTGTGACGACACTGCTATATCATGGCGATCAATGAAACAGATAATGATTGCAACTTCTTCAAATCATTATAAGATACTCGCAATTCATGAGGCAAGCAGGGAATGCATTTGGTTGAAATCAATGATCCAACATATTCGAACAACATGTGGTCTCTCATCAATAAAAGATAGCCCAACAGTATTATATGAAGATAATGCGGCATGCATTGCATAGATGAAAGAATGGTATATTAAAAGTGACAGGACCAAGCACATCTCACCAAAATTCTTTTATGCACATGAACTCCAGAAAAAGGGTGATATTGATATTTAAAAGATACGTTCATGTGAAAATCTAGCAGATCTATTCATTAAAACGCTTCCAACTACAACATTCAAGAAGCTGGTGCACAATATTGGAATGTGTCAACTAAAGGATCTTTATGATTGATCTAATAAGGGGGTGCAATTGATCGAAGAGGTATTGGTATACTGTACTCTTTTTCCTTCGTCCAAGTTTTATCCCACTCGGTTATCCTGGTAAGGTTTTAATGAGGCAGTTTTTAATCTATGCAATACCATTTTCAGATACATAAGAGTACTGTACTCTTTTTCCTTCGCTAGGGTTTTGTCTTACTGGGTTTTCCTTAGCAAGGTTTTTAACAAGGCATATTCTTAATGTAGTATTGTGGACCCCAAGGGGGAGTGTTATGTATATATATATAATGGAAGTGGGGCCCACAATGAAGTATGTCATCCATGACATCACAATTTAAAGCTTACAGAGGAAGATTTTAGTAGTGGCTTTTTAGGGAAGCTAATTCCTGCGCCTATATATATGGCCATACATATGTACTGCTGGGACGTGTTTTGTAATAACAAATTTTCATTCTCTCTGTCTCTCTTCCATTCTCTCTCTCTCCATCTCTTTATATTACTCTCTTTATATATATATATACACACACACACATATATTTTATTATAAAAAAAAAAAAAAAAACCCAACCCAGTTTTAAAAATGTGCAAATAAAATCCATCAATTTCACCCTATAGTTTTGAAAGTGTGCATTAAAGACTTTTTGTTCGGAGAAATGAATTGTGTGCTAGGTAAAAAGAAGAATTGCGCTAGTTGAAAAGATGATAATACCTTCAAAGATGTTGTTTACGATCCTCAAAACGCCAACGTTTTATGCTTGAAGCCCCCCATTGGATAATTCCTAAAACAAGTCGACTGCAAAACTCTTCAAACCCAGTAAAAAGAATGATATTGGAGGATGTTAATGGTAAATGGTATGACTCTAAGGGCTTTGTTTGGTATAATTTTTGCTTCTGCTTTTAGGTAAAAGAGAAAGAGAAGTAGAAGCTATCTCTTTCATTTGGCTTATGTGTTAGTGTTTGAATATTGTATTTTTAAAGAGTTTCTAATGCCAAAACTAAATGTTTGGCAAAATATTTGTTGAAACTCTTTTATTACTGAAATAACTATTTTGCCCTTAAAAAGAATGTTATTTTGGATTGTTTGGTAACATAAGTATTTAACTGTTTTTTCATACCCAACTCTTTTCTAAGTAACAAATAAACTTTCAATGTAATCAAATTTAATTTCACACCAACGCGCAGTAACTTAAACGATATTAGCCTCTTATTTCACAAAGAGAGGTCTCAGAAGAGACAAGTGTGTGTGAATACCAATTAGGAAAAAAAATATAATTAATTTCACATACCAACGTATATTGTGCTTAAAAAAAAAAGTACCAATTTCATCTCATTGTTAATATGATGAAATAAAATATTTATCTAGACATAAGTTTTGGATAACTCCCAATATATTTTCTCTGTCAGTCAAGTAATATTTATCTACAAAATAATAAATTCACGGATAATAATAAATCATTATCCAAACCAAAAGCACCCTAACCTAATATTTTGAAGTTAGAACAGAAGCTCACCTAGTAAGCATTTCTGTAGGTAAAAGCAACCTAACAAAAAAAAAATTGGGATTTGAGAAAAAAATTTATCCATGAAAAAAATTGGATTTTGATACCTAATCAGCAATATATTGAATAAATAGAAAAATTAAAGAATTAAGTCAAATGGAGGGGGGAAAATAAAGTCAAATGGAGGTGGATAGCTTGTTCAAGCGAAAAGGAAAAAAAAAAAAAAAAAACCCATATTCTTGCATTGTTGGATGTCAAAGATGGGATGTTTAGTTCAAATTATAGAGCCAAACTATGATAGACTGTTAGACTTATATTACAGGACATCAATTTTTCATTATATATTGGGTTAATTTCTAAAAACTCCCACTACTTTTAAAAAATGATCATTAAACCCCCACCAATTTTAAATACTCCTAATAATATTACAACGTTGTGATTTTACCCCAATTCTGTCAAATGGGCCATTAACCCAGCGCGTGGTTAACAATTGCTTTGCCAATGTGACTTTATGACGAAAATACCCCTGGTGTAACATGTGCAAACAAGTGATATATATTTATATGTATTATTCCGAAAATACCCCCAAGCATCTCTTCTCTCCTCCATGCCTGAAAGTGTTTCGAAAGCCATGTTGTCCTCGATCTCGCCTGCCCTGCCGTCCTTGACCTTTTTGAGTCATTTTACCATTCTTTTGATAAAAAAAATACTACTAACATCTTTTGCATATTAAATATGCCTAAAATCAATTTGTTATATTGTAGGTGCTAAGGATGATCTAATCCAAGTTGTTTGAGGTGCAGCAGATCTAAGTCTTTGCTCTGCAGAAAGAACTTACTTGGTGAAGCTGCATTCACATGATATTACTAGATTTTACTGAGGCCCCTATTAATCTTGATGATTATGTGTCTCACTTTATTACTAATCTATTTGTAAATTGTTTGCTTTCTCGATTAAGTTTTAACTATATTCTTACCCTTTTAATAAATTATGGGTGTAGAATTTGAAACAACTCATAAATTGTGTGTTGTCATCAGCTTCTCTTTCATATTATGAGCTTGGAGTCAAAAAAGGGCACCACATCTAATAATAGTGCCCTTCATATACATAATATTGATTAGAATCGGGGATTGGAATGTTTATTGATAGAAACAGATGGGGTTCATATATATATATATATACACACACAGACACAGTACACACATTCATCTGTTTGATTTTAGTATATGTAACCCTCTTATTCAATGGTTTAGAAGTGGTTTGGACTTTTAAGTACTAGGGTTTTAGAGTTAATTCAGGTGTATGTAAAGAAGGGTTTTTTATATTGTTGGTGTAAGTTTAAAGTTAATGTTGTTATATTAATACATATATACACCCTGTGAGGAAGAAAGCCCATGCATAGGAAATGTCATTTGACACTTTAACAGCAGTGGAACAAATTACCTCTTTTTCAATGTCGGCGCATGAGATCGAGGACGGTAGGGCAGGCGAGATCGAGGGCAGTCTTGGCACGGACGACGACATCGAAGGCATTTCCAGGGAGGGAGAGGTTGATGTCAGACCGCGTCGCTGCTCGTTGCCAAAGAGATGACTATTACAGCCACTGCTCTTCAATTTGTTCACACCCAGTTCAAAGTCATTCTCTCCGTCAACGTTTTCCACCGTCGGTAACAACAAACCCACTTCTCTAGTCCTTCACTTCACCGGAGATTGAGAAATCCCAATGGTCGACGCTCTGAAACTCATCGGAATAGTTGGGTTTTCATGTCGAGGACGTTTTAATGTCCAGTACAACTACTACGGTGGTTTTGTGCTAAAGGATAATATTGTAATTTCAAAAATATGATTTTTTGGTTTTGTAAATAAAAGGGAATATAATAAGGGTAATTTAGTCATTTCACATAGTCAATTAATAGAATTGGGGTAAAATGATAACATTGTTATATTGTTGGGGGGTTTTTTAAACTTATGGGGATTTAATGATCATTTTTTGAAAGTAGTGGGAGTTTTTAGAAATTAACCTTTATATATTTTAGAAAACAATAATGTCACAAAAGAGGATATACCAAACAGGCACCAAGAACATCAAACAACTAGAAGGACCAAACCACTTATTTATACACATATATATTGACCCTCCAACCAGTACAGCAGTGGTTTCTAAGCCATTTCACTTCCATCTCCTTCGTAAAAGACATACGAAACTTCATAGTGCAAAACTCAAACATTCAAGTTTTTCTTCTATATGCTAATATCAATAACCAATGGTTCTTCACTTTCTGGAATCGGCCCTTTCTCCCGTAAACTAAAATATTCCCCTTTTTCATGCTTTCATAATGAAGGACGAAAAAACGGATGAAGATCGGCTAGGGGAGCAGACCTTGACAGAACAATCAACATATTTACTGGATATGATGATAAACTTTCAGATCGCCTGTGCTTGAGTTGTAAAAATTGTCCTTTGAGTTGTGTTAGGGTTTTGGAAGAAGACGCCTTTTTATAATGGCATATATTGTAATTTTATTTTCTCACTACCTAAATAAGAGGGTACGCTTGAAATATGTGTTTGGAAGAAGAAGTTTCTCTAAAATGCTCTTCTAAAATTCAAAAGCTCTTCTAAAAAATTAGCCTAATATTACTCAAAATAACTTTCAAGTCCAAAAAAACCAAAAGCAACGTTTGAAAAGACAATCCAAACAGGCCCTTAAGTGGTTGTTAGAAAGATTTCTCAATCATATTTCTCATATCTCTGTTCTCTAGTGCTACATCAGATTTGAACTCATAGTTCTAAAGAAAAATTGAAAGCTTCTCTCAATTGTCAATGGAGTCCTGTTGGAATATCTTCACATATGAGTTTGGCTCTTCTGCTACGCAGTACTCGGATCTGAGCTCGCCGGTTGAGACTGGTTTAGGCTGTGAGAATCAGAAATCTTGGCCTATGTTTGGTTCTCCTCAATCGACACTATGTGGAGTGATTAGTGGGTGTGGTTGCAAGAAATGTTCAACTCGTTTAATTTTCCTCTTCTTTAGTTGCTTATCGCCGTCGTTGGAGTCCGATAAAGATGTCAAAGCATCAGGCATGTGTGTCTCGCACCGAGTCTGACACGGCGGCGACTCAGAATCGTCTTCTTAATTTCGAAGTTGTACCTAACATTCCGGTGACGAATGCTCCGTTGCAGGTCACACTTCTGCGCAGCAGTGACGGCAACACGGCGTGCAAGATCTGCCTTTGACGGCCTTCCCTTCTTCCTTTTCATGATCTGACCCATCTTTTTTCTTTCCTTACTTTCTCTCTGTACACTTTCTCTCACTAAACTGACTGTCTGTCTCTCCTCATTTTCAATCCATTCTTCCAAGCCACGACGGCGACACTCCAGAATTCGACCCACCTTGATTCATGGTGTTGAGGCTTTTTCGGGCATAATTCGAAGATGCGGAGAGAGAAAATATTAAAAAATGAAAATTATTTAGGAGTAAAAAGAGACTTTAGAGAGGAGAGAGAGAAAAATAGAAATTATTTAGAGAGATAAAAAGCCAAATTTGAGAGGAGAGAGAACATATTTCTATTATATATAAAGAAATAATTATTAAGAGTATTATATATTATATAGAGAAATGAGAAAAAAATGAGTAAGGGATAATTTAGGTAGTGGAAAGAGGTAATATGAGTTTGAAAGACCTTTTTTAGTCACATGATGATGCGCCTTTATTTGCACACTTTTAAAACTACAGAGGTGGAATTTAAATCTTATTTACACATATTTAAAACTAGGAAGGGGGGGTGGGGGGATTTGCACTTCATCCGACTATTGTATATGCAGTAGAAGAACCTCGTAATAAGAAAAATAATAATATTCACTTGTAAAATGTAAACATTACGTCACAAATTATTTTGGTGATACAATAAACCCAAATTACGTGTCATATGGAAATGTGTGTACTGTAAAAGAATTTCTTTGAGATAATACAGTAGATTGTGAAAGCAATTTCTTCAAGAGAATTAGTTTAGGATAGAGAGGAAAAATAGAAAAAGTAAGTTTTATTATAGAATACAATTCTAATATAATTCAATTTATGAGTCATTTCAAAAAAGGATTAAATCTTCATAATTATAAAATTCAAATTCCAACATAATTTAATAATGTTTGTTTCAGAAAGAATTAAATCTTCATCATTATATAATTCAAATTCCAGCATAATTTAGTAACTTGAATTCAATTTCTTCTAGAATTTTTGTTTTTAACATCCTCTCTCTTAAATCTCACAAAGTTATAATTTTTTTTTTCCAAAATTTCTTTGACCTACATTTTCGAAATGGATCTTTCTTGTGAATATGAGCTCTAATTTTCACAACCATCTACTTGTGTGATTAATTAGATAATTATATAATTGCTTCTTATATTTATTTTGATTTGACATTTTGTAGTTGCGGTTGAATTCTAGAGAGAGAACATGTGTGTAGTTAAAGAGAGACCCAGTAAAAATAGAATTCTGGATAGAAGCCGAGAGTATACATATACACACACAATCATAGTTAGTAAAATACGGTACGGAAAAAATACGAGTACGGAAACGTACGAGTATGATTCGATATTTATTTTAAAATAAGTTTAAAAATTCAGCAAAAAAATACGAAAACGTAAAAATAGGAATACGGATACGTACATGTATAATATGTTATACACACCAAAAATTCGGGATAAAAAATTCGGCTATATACATCTTATTATTTTCTTATATATCATATATTTGTAAGGAGGACAATAAAGAATATATAACAAATAATAAAATAAATATATTACAATTGACACTATCACAATAATCATAAAAAAAAATTCATAAGTATATAATGTGATACTCTACTAAAACATCTAAGGAGTGTGGTGATCGACAAACTTCTAAAATAATAATAATAAAGATACTAACAAAATTTAAAAGATCTCATAGTAAAATAAAAAATCTATAAATATCTACAAAAATCAATAAAAACTTATTATTCTTCAATATTATAGTGTTTCACAAGTGTGTGTGTGTGTGTATATATATATATATATATCTTTTATTACTTTGATTAAAGATCATTCATTGGAGTGCAACAATAAGAGATTAAAAAAAAAAAAAAAAAAAAAAAGTGATAGCTTGAATGTAGAACAACTTAGTAAGGGAGTGGTCACAACCATCCACAAGATTGCACAACAAATAACATTATTTTGATGGCGTGAAAGATAATGACTATACCAAGTAAAAGAGAGTAAAAAAGATGGTAGTTTGTGTTTTAGAAAAAAACACTTTTAAAAACGTTTTAATCAGCAAAGATTGAATCTTTGAATAAAAATACTTCAATTAAGGTACATTTTAAGTTACTATACCTTTTTAAGATATAAATATTAAATCTTTGAATGAAAATGTGAGGTTTTAGTTAAAATTATTCGTCACAAAGAGTGTTTTAATGAGTAAAGATTGAATCTTAGAATGAAAATACCTGAATCAAGACACCTTTTAAGTCACAAGACCTTTTTAATGTATAAGTAATGAATCTTTGAAAGAAAATGAGAGTTTCTTGTTAAACTTATTCGAGTTTCTTTTGATGTCACAAAGAGTGTTTTAATGAGTAAAGATTGAATTTTTGAATGAAAATACCTTAATTAAGGTACCTATTATGTCACTAGACCTTTTTAATGTATAAATATTGAATCTTTGAAAGAAATTAAATGAGAGTTTTTAGTTAAACATGTTCGAGTTCCCTTTGAAGTCACGAAGAGTGTTTTAATGAGTAAAGATTGAATCTTTGATTGAAAATATCTCAATCAATGTACCTTTTAAGTCACTAGACCTTTTTAAAGCACAAAGATTGAATCTTTAAAAGAAAATGAGAGTTTTGAGTTCAATTTATTCGAGTTACCTTTACAGTCACAAAGACTATTTTAACGAGTAAAGATTTAATAATTGAATGGACATACCTCAATCAAGATACCTTTGCAGTCAATAGATCATTTTTATTGTATAAAGATTGAATCTTTGAAAGGAAATGAGAGTTTTAAGTTAAAATTATTTCAGTTCCTTTGACATTACGAAGAGTGTTTTAATGAGTAAAGATTGAATATTAGAATGAAAATAACTCAATCAAGGTAACATTTAAGTCACTGGACCTTTTTAATGTATAAATATTGAATCTTTGAATGAAAATGAGAGTATTTTGTTAAACTTTTTCGAGTTTCCTTTGAAGTCACAAAAAGTTTTTTAATAAGTAAAGATTGAATATTTGAATGAAAATATCTCAATCAAGGTACCTATTATATCACTAGACATTTTTAATGTATAAAGATTGAATATTTGAAAGAAAATGAGAGTTTTTAGTTACACTTATTTGAGTTCCATTTGAAGTCACGAAGAGTGTTTTAATGAGTAAAGATTGAATCTTTGAACGAATATACTTC